GCTGCTTTCCAGGCCTCGCTGCTTCCCGCTGCCTGGTGCTGGGGGCAGGGGGCGGGGGCTGCAGGCGCAGCAGTTGGTCACCTGGGCGTCTCTTTGGGTTTGCCCCCTGACCCCCAGCTTTTGTCAGCACGTAAGCAGAGGCGTTCTGGCCACCGAGCCTTCAGGGCTCATGCATGGGTCCCCTCCCTCCTCCTGGCTGGTCCCTTCGGTGCACAGCCTGAGGGCGGGGCTCCGTGGTGAGCGGTGAGCAGCGAGCATGAAGGACGCAGCCCCGCGGGCTGTGCGCCTTCTCACCGAGGGCATGTTTGCTCCGAGTGAGTCCCCCGCCAGCAAGGGGTAGTTTTGTTTGTAGGGTATTTTTCTTTCGTGTTTTTTATGTTTTAGGGCTCAGAAGGCAGCAAGGAAATTGTAGGGAAAAGTCTCTTTTTCTCAGCTCGGTCGCCCCCAGGAAGCCATTGGTGTTTTCTCCTCTGCGAGCCGCCCAGGGGTGGGCTGCAGGGTTTTCACCCTTCTTGTGCAGAAGGCATGTGATTCTATTTTATTTTAATTGGTTTCAGAGGAAGGAAGAGGGAGAAACATCAATGAGGAGAGAGAACCATTGATCGGCTGCCTCCCGCACGCCCCACACTGAGGGAATCGAGCCCTCAACCTGGGCCTGTGCCCCGACTGGGAATCCAACCGTGACCTCCTGGTTCATAGGTCAACACTGAGCCACACCGGCTGGGCTGCAGATGGCGTATTAAATGCACTTCTGCACCTTGCTTTATTTTTTACTTAGTATTTTCTCTTGGAGCCCATAGAAATCTTGGAGATGGTTGCATGTATATGTGACGTGAGTTGCATAGTGTCCCTGTCTACTCAGCCACCGTCCTCCATTCACCTCTTCATCCCTTCATCTACCCACCCATCCATCCATCCACCCACCACCCATCCATCCACCCAGCCAGCCATCCTCCATCCCCCTCTGTCCATCCATCCGTCCTGCCCCCCCACCTCCCCCCGCAGCCGCCTGGACCCCTGCAGTGCTGGGCAGCTCGGGGTGGGCGACACAGATTCCGTCTGAGCCTCAGGAGCCACTGTCTGGTCGGGGACAGTGACAAAACCCCAGGGTCGAGGACTGCGTTCCCATTGTTCTCGCTCTGACCGTCTTGCCATTTGCAGAATAAAGCGATTGCCACGCCTGTGCAGGGCGTCTGGGACATGAGGAACAAGCAGTTTCACACGGGCATTGAGATCAAGGTGTGGGCCATCGCCTGCTTCGCACCCCAGCGCCAGTGCACCGAGGTCCACCTCAAGTAAGGCGCCAGCGGCCGTGCAGGCTCGGGCGGGAGGGACGGGGTGGGCAGCCTCTCCCAGTCTCAGAGCCGCAGCCGGGCAGGGACAGGCTGGGCAGGGGGGACAGGCCACGCTGTGTGGGCCCTTCCCCACTGCGGCTCGGAGCCGTCGTCCGAGCAGAGGGAAAGGCAGCACAGATGAGACGAGAGAACAGCAAATGGGAGTGAGTGTAAAAAGGAGGTGAGAGCCCTAACTGGTTTGGCTCAGTGGATAGAGCGTCACCTGCGGACTGAAAGGTCCCAGGTTCGATTCCGGCCAAAGGCATGTACCTTGGTTGCAGGCACATTCCCAGTGGGGGGTGTTCAGGAGGCAGCTGATCGATGTTTCTCTCTCATCGATGTTTCTAGCTCTCTATCCCTCTCCCTTCCTCTCTGTAAAAAATCAATAAAATATATTAGAAAAACAAAAGGAGGCGAGAGAGAGAAGCGGACTCGGTGAACATTAGCTACATAGTCCGTGCGGAGGGAGATGGAGAAAATGAGCCAGAAGGAGGCCGGGATGGTCAGAGGCGGCCTTATTCCCTGGAAGGGGCGGAATGGAAGTCGTCTGGGCAGCTGTCCTGAGCAGGGAGTGTGCCCGACAGCCCAGCCAGGGATCGCCCCTCCAGGGAGCTGGGCAGCGCGGGGCCAGCCAGCTGCACAGCCTTTGAAAGCAGCGCGGTGAGCCGCAGCGTCCCGCACAGCGGAGCCTCCTCCTCCCTCGGGTGGAAGCGGGAGCGACAAGACCAAGGCCGGGGAGTGTAGCCAAGAACATTTCTGCAGAGGGAGCTGCCGTGGGGGAGGGGCTGTGGGGGAGGCTGCGGTCGGCCCCCACGCCCAGGGCCAGCTGGCCGCCCGAGAGCCTCAGAGTCGAGCTGGGGCCCACGTCTGGGCCGGGCCGTCCCCAGGGTCTGTCCTTGGCCCTTCCTTCCGCTTTGCCTGGAGCTGGGTGCCCCGCGGTCAATGCACGTGGACGCTAAATGCAGGCGCGAACGTGTTTGTCGACACCGGCCGGCCGGGCTGGATCCGTGTCCTCAGCCTCTCTGTCGAAGGCGACGTTATTTTTGCTCCAGAGCTTAAAATAGAGGCCGGCGTGTGTGCTCGCCGCGGAGCCTCGGCCTGCTGGCGGCAGCTGCAGGTGTTACTCTAGCTTCGCCGTCCTGCTTTTTCCACGATTATGTCATCCACGTCTCCGAGCTGTGCACACGAGGGCAACGGTCCCTCCCACAGCGGTTGGCATTCACGGCCTGAGCGGGCGGGTGTGTCCCCCGGAAGCGGGGCCGTGAGCACGGCACCTCGTCACTCTGCATGGGGGCCACGGCCGGGTGGGGGCCAGTGTGGGGCCTGTTGGGAGTCTTCGGTTTATTGGAGCAGAACAGCTGGGGTGACTCCTCAGCGGCCTGAACGCGCGGCCCAGCTCTGTCCAGGGCGGCGGCTCCGACCCCGACCCCCGGGCACGGGTTGGGTTGGGTCTGGACTCCAGCTCGCGGGGGCTCCTGGCCTGACACGCCCTCTCCTCCAGGTCCTTCACGGAGCAGCTCAGAAAGATCTCCAGGGACGCGGGGATGCCCATCCAGGGCCAGCCGTGCTTCTGCAAGTACGCCCAGGGCGCCGACAGCGTGGAGCCCATGTTCCGGCACCTGAAGAACACGTACACGGGCCTGCAGCTGGTGGTGGTCATCCTGCCGGGCAAGACCCCCGTCTACGGTAGGCGGGCGGCGGGCGGGAGTGGCGGCTGCTTCCCGGGGGAGCCGGGCGGTGGGGGGTGTGGGCCTGGCTCGCTCTGTGAGCTCAGCCTGGTGTTAGCTGAGGATGCACAGGCTTCGGGGCATTTATTGTTATTAACTCCTCGAGTCCTGGGTGCTGTGGGGGAGATGGCGTTCCGCCCCAGGAGTGCCAGCCCCTGGCTTCCAACCGGGCTCTGCCCGTCCCTCCTGCCCGAGGAGTGAGGGCGGGCAGTGCTGGAGCCAGAACCTGAACCCAGAGGCTCTGATTTCCCTGCACCTGCCTGGCCCCTATCTCCCAGTCT